AGCCTTGAAGGTACCAAGGTAACTGGCCAGCGCAATCTTCCCAGTTTGCATTTGAATGAGGACTGATGTAGCAGCTCTCCGAAGGCCTTGGTATAGCTGCATTGGCGCTTTTGAGGGTTGGACAAGATTATATATTCACACGATGAAGGCTATAGGAAGTTTGATAAATCTCTTGGTTCTAGCATAATATTCGTTTTTTTTTTTTTTTTTTTTTTTTTTTTTTTTTTTTGACGTGCAAATGTGATTTATTTTTATGGGAATTCTTTGTACAAATACTAGCAATGCCACTCATAATAAACCAAGCTTACGATAACTTCAAATATATCTCATCTACTAAGGTTTCAACCTATATGTCCAAGTTCAGCGTATACACATATGAACCCATATACAAGTGTTGGTAGCTATCATTCATTTATCTTGACTTTATTCCATGTGTAATGTTAGCCACCTTTCCTCATCTTTATATCCTATCACGGTCAACCCCAGTGAACCAAAATGGGAAAGAGTTTTTAAACCAGGTAGAGAGTTGGAAGTACAGGGAGATACAGTTTTCATGGAGAAGAAATACCAGCCAACGCAACACGTAAACGAGATCTATCGCAACAATAACTAACTCTTTGCCTTGCCTTACAATATCTCAAGCGCTACTGGGATGGTTTCCCGGAGCCTCCTTCGACTTGAGCAATAGAACATCAACTCAGTATGACTCTGGCTACTATAATCTATATTGACCCCTCGCCCTTCAATCCAAGGGTCGGCTCCTGTTCCCGAAGAACACGGTTCCTTTCTATCAACGTCTCTTCCAGGCGAGCCACAATAATCAAATGTGGTGGAAGGTAAGTAATCTAGCTTGAGAACAACCAACACTCAGGATGGTGACTGATATTATCTGAATCGACGTGTCTCCAGGACTAGACTAAGCGTAGTCGCATGGTTATGCGGCCTTATCTAACCTCGACGTACTGTCTCACACTGGGCAAGCACATTGAACCTTCTTCCTCGGTCCCATTAAGTCCGCTAATATGTCCAGCGTGTACGTTCGCTCTTTTATCAGATGGCGTTGGTAAAGCTCGCTGCGTGTAGTTCCTGGGACAGCACTGGCTCACTACATGCGAGTAGGGTCGTAAGATGTAGTCGGGAAGAATTGATGGCTTGGGGAAATGGGAAACGAATGTTTGGTCAAGATTTTCTGCACGAAGGAATTGAAATTGGCGCTACAAATTTAAACACCAAGTCTACAACATTCACTCCTTGTTGAGCCATCAAATCGGCAGCATGTCTTAAGTTAACTTTGGGCTAGGTCTACTTTGACAGAAGGGAATGAGTTTGTTGTAAACATACCCGAAAGGTATTCATTTGGAAGGCGTGTTTGTGGTATCTCTTGCTATACAAGCAGACCCTTACGTGAAATGTATGTAAAGAGAAGCAGGGATCTAGACTCATACAAGGTAGGTAACTCTCCGTACAGCACCTAAATGGTGCTCTAGTCTTAACCTATCACAGAATAATTGAGGCAATTCCTTCCGTACAGGACAACCAAGATTCAGGTATCTCAAGGCAAACAAGCCATGCTCAGTACCTATGTCCGTGAATCGGACTTTGCAGCTTTCCCAATAAATCTTATTCGGACGCCATTGCGGTCTACAAGAAATCATGATGGTCCGATCATCACTCGACCTGATATCCCTTGTCTAGAGCCAGTCCGCTTTGTCTCGGAGGTTGTATTAGTCTCCGAAGTGCGTTTCCGAGGAGTTGGATCCAAGATCTCCACAAGTGACTTACTGTTCTCGGAAACGCTGACAAAGCATATTCAACTCCCATTTTTCTAGAAGATTTTCCATGCATGCATGGGTTTCGGTTCAGTCGGCATTCTATCAGTGTAGTGTCTCGATTGCCATGGGTCTGGCTCCACTTTAGGTTCATCTGTCTTGGGCCGGAGATAAGAGACTCAGGGCTGTCCAAGGCGGAAGCGCAAGTCACGTTAAAAGCAGAAAGTATTTAAATGGTATATAACTACCTATAAGGAGACTGGTAAAATCAGTTCATCTACGCATTGTCTTGTGAGTATATCATTCAAGCTGTAGTCCTCGTTATCGGGACCTGATGAAACTATGGCGCAGTTGGTCAGAGCCACTCCCCCCCCACGGCGTTTATTGCTGCTGGCATACTGACATAGTCAAGCAGAATACAGTAGTAGACCAACTTCCTGTCTACCGACCAGAGGGTCGTGGCCTTGGCGTGGTCTTCGAAAATATCAGCGTACACTGCACGAGTGGAAATGTTCGCACCGTCCTCGACTTACTCGGAATTTTTGAAGGCATCATCAAGCTGCCAATGCGCCTGGCTTACAATTTAGTCGGGAACCGACAACATCCTACAAAGACAATTATTCAAGGAGTTTCAGGAGTTGTCTTCCCGGGAGAGACACTCTTGGTTCTCGGTCAACCGGGCTCGGGGTGCTCGACTACCCTCAAGGTGATTGCCAACGAACGAAAATCCTATGGAAGGGTCGACGGTGATGTTGCTTATTCCTGTATCTCATCAGCAGAGATGCACAGGAAGTATGCCTCCGAGGTTCTGTATAACGCCGAAGACGACATCCATTACCCCGGCCTGAAGGTGAAACACACGCTGGACTTCGCCTTGCGACTGCGGAAGCCTGCCAAAGGTATCCACCAAGACACCGCCAGCTTCTCGAGAGACATGTCAGACCGTCTGCTGGGCGGCCTCGGAATGTCACATACGAAAGATACCATCGTGGGCAGCTCGTTTGTCCGTGGAGTCTCCGGTGGCGAGCGCAAGCGTGTTTCCCTGGCCGAAGTGATGGCCTCCAATCCCGCTATCGCCTGCTGGGATAACCCAATCCGTGGGCTAGACAGTTCGTCTGCCTTGCAATTTCTCAAGTTGCTCAAGTCCCTCAGCCAGGAAACCAAGATGACCAATATTGTGACCATCTACCAAGCCTCCGATGCTATGTATCACCAATGCTTCGACCGGGTCCTGGTCATGTACGAAGGCCGGATGATTTTCTCGGGCAGGGCGCAAGATGCTCAGGATCACTTCGTCAACTTGGGCTTCCAGAAGTGGGACCGACAAACCATTCCCGACTTCCTCACGTCCGTCACTGCTTCATCCGAGCGAGTCGTCCGCCGCGACCACATTGGCCCAGTGCCACAGACTCCCGAGCAGTTTGCGCAGGCATTTCTCCAGAGTGCATATTACGAGCGGCTACAGGCCGATATCCACGCCTACCAGCAGGCAGCTGCGGTTGACACTTCAGGTCTCGCCGCTTTTCACGCAGAGATCGACCGCGTCAAGGCGAGTGTGACACCCAAGGGCTCCCTGGAGCCCACACCAATCTGGATACAGACCCTAGTGGCCATGCGCCGGTACTATCAGCTGCTTTGGAAGAACCAACACGATCTCTACATTGTGCTCTTCCTCAACGCAGTGAATGCGGTTATCAACGGCTCCGCCTACTACAAAGCCCCCAAAACCGCAACAGGGTCCTTTGAGAAAGGTGGTGCCCTCTTCTTCTCCCTCATCTACTTTTTCTTGAATGCCCTCGCGGAGGTCTCGTCAACCATCAACGCCAGGTCAATTTTAATCAAACAGCATAAACTTGGTTTGATCCACCCAATGGCATTTGTAATCGCGCAGACCATGGCAGATATTCCAGTGGCTGCTTTCCAAACCCTCGTGTTCTCTTGCTGCTACTATTTCATGCTCGGCCTGTACAAGAGTGCATCGGAATTCTGGATCTTTGAGCTGATCCTGTTCGTGCATTACTCAGCTGTCTCGAGCATGTTCCGCATGCTTGGTGCGTGGGCGCCAAGTTTGGATATCGCCTTCTTTGTCGCCGGTACTGCCTTGCCGGTTTGTCTGACCTATTCTGGGTATGGGCCGCCAGTCCCCACAATGCATCGGTGGGGATCCTGGATTCGACGCATCTCCCCCTCGCCGTGGGCATTGGAAGCGCTAATGGGAAACGAGTTCTCTAATATTGATGTTCACTGCACGCCAGACCAGATGGTCCCCCATGGACCCGGATACGGGGAGATGCGGTATCAGGGCTGTAGCTTGCCGGGAAGTTTGAAGGGTTCAAACGTCGTCTCAGGTTCCACTTATCTCGAGCTCATTTATCGGTATTCCAGGTCCAACCTGTGGCGCAATTTTGGAATTATTCTGGTAATGTGGTTTTTATACGTGGTTCTTACGGCGGTAGGTCTGACGGTCATGACGGGCTCCGGTGGCTCCGGTGGAGGTCCCATCTTCAAGCGCGGAGCCGTCGTTCATCCCCAGCATTTCACAGAAGAGAAATCAAAGCGCGATGTGGAACAGACTGCCGTCCCCCGTACGGAAAGCCTACATCCCGTCTCGTCGAGCTCTTCGGTGACGCAGGCAACAGTCACAGAAAAGCAGCCCAAGGTAGAGCTAGACAAGGGCACTTTCTCCTTCAATGACGTCTCTTATTTTGTGACGGTAGATGGAGAGGAAAGAAGGCTTCTCACCAATATCAATGGTTACGTGAAACCGGGACAGCTCACGGCCTTGATGGGATCTTCAGGAGCAGGTAAAACCACTCTCCTGGACACTATTTCGCAACGAAAAAGCACTGGGAAAGTCCAGGGTCAGATGCTCATGGGTGGTCGGCCTCTTTATGGAACTTTCTCCCGGTCCTGTGGATTCTGCATGCAGCAGGACGTCCATGAACCTATGGCTACTGTGCGCGAGGCATTGGAATTCTCAGCAAAGCTGCGGCAACCTGCACACGTCCCGGCTGTCGAGAAGCTTAACTACGTGGACCATATTATATCACTTTTGGAACTCGAGCCTATTGCCGACGCACTCATCGGAGAGCCTGGCGATGGGGGTCTGAACGTGGAGGAACGAAAGCGGGTGACTATTGGGGTCGAGCTGGCAGCCAAACCGTCGGCCTTGCTGTTCTTGGACGAGGTAAGCGTCTTTGAAAGTTGATTAAAAGCCTTGGATAAAGTTAATTGAGCTAATTTCTTAATTCTTCCCTAGCCCACGTCTGGTCTCGATAGCCAGGCTGCATTCTCGATTGTTTCCTTCTTGAAGAAGATTGCGTCGCAAGGAGTTCCGATTGTTTGTACGATTCACCAGCCGTCCGCTGTCCTATTCCAGATGTTCGATCATGTTCTCCTTTTGGCCGCTGGTGGACGCACAGTCTACTTTGGTGAGACAGGCCCTGGGTCTGCGCACGTTATTGACTATTTTTCCCGCCATGGTGCCGTCATAAGCGCCTCAGAAAATCCAGCCGAGTTTATCATTTCAACTGTGACCAGTAAGAAAGCAGAGGCCAAGGACTGGCCACAGGTATGGAATGAGTCGAGTGAGTGTGCCGAGCTAAAGGAGAAACTGTCTGTCTTCCAAAGCCATGCCATGAGTCCGTCACCAACTGAAGCGGCCTCGGAGGATGGTGGCTTGGCATATGCGCTCCCCCTCTCGGCTCAGATTGTGGAACTTACCAAGCGCCATTGGATTGCAATATGGAGGACCGGGTCTTACAACTTCAGCAAACTTTTCAAGTGCGTTTTCTGTGAGCTTTTCATTGCCTTCAGCTTTTTCAAAGCCGGTCCCGATGTGCAAGGTTTGCAGAATTACATGCTCGCTCTCCTTATTATCATCTGGATTATCCCCGCAATCGCAGCCGACATCCAGAATATCTGGTTCAGCAAATGGGCCATCTTCGAAGCGCGCGAAAGAAATGGCATATACGACTACAAAGCCCTATTCGTTGCCTTGACGCTGGTCGAAATCCCCTGGCAAATCCTCTCTTTTACGGTGGTCTACTTCTGCATCTACTGGACAGTGGGATATCCCAATGTCAGCAACATTGCCGGATTTGTGTATTTTATGTTCTTGACTCTGTCCCTCTTTGCCACCAGCTTCTGCCATCTGATGGCCTCCATCTTCCCCAATCCGACTCTGGCCGGGTACGCCAACTCACTCTTCTGGGTGGTTATCACCGTCTTCTCCGGCACATTGGTTCCGCACACGGCAATGAACACCTTCTACCGTCCCTGGATCTTCTGGATTGATCCCCTGCGGTACTTCTTCGGTGGTACTGTCTCCAGCGTGTTGCATGGCATCAAAGCACACTGCAAGCAATCAGACTTGACCATATTCGACCCGCCCGCGGACACGACCTGCTACGAATATGCAGCCGACTTTCTATCGCAAAGCCCGGGATACTTAACCAACCCGAACGCTACCAACTCCTGTGCCTACTGCAAATATAGCTACGGAGATAACTACAGCGCCACCTTGGACTACCACTACAGCCAACGGTGGTGGAATTGGGCGGTTCTGTTGGGCTTTGGTCTGGCCAACATCCTCTGTGTTTGGTTTTTCACTTGGCTCTTCCGGATAAAATTGCGGAAGTAACAGGGTCAATTCTGCGTGACTATGTCACAGTATTCTGGAAGCAAGCCTCTTGTTGCTTTTGAGTTTGCCTTCGTTTTTCGCTGTTCTTCTGCCATGCGAAAATCCATATGTTGGCCCATATATTGCTTTTTATTCTTGCTTTAAATAATTTATATTATAGACCTACATAGAAACATAAAGAATTAGACTTAGATAGTAACTATAGCGAATCAACGTGATTTTTACTGTTTGTTTCATTCAAAGGCTGGTTTGCGAACGGAGCAGAAAACCTACATATTGAGAAGATACACAACGCTAAGAGACCGTTACATAGAGTAAGATAAAGATTGGACCACTCCCATACCAATCACCTTACATCATTCTCCATTGGGAGATTGGAATAAGTGTTCTGCTGCTTTGTGTCGGAGAAATGAAGGACTCATTGATATCTCCGAGACTCTCCACGGACTTCCGAGTGATGGGAATACATTTGGATTCTTCTCATATTTGAATGTGTCATATTGTGCGTCGTACTCCGATTATATCAAGGAATTAATTCCGTAGTCACCGAATCCTCTTGCGTGGCAAATACGCTTGCAGGAGTCCTTCTGTTGCCTCCATAAGTGCCTCCATAAGATATCCAAACTTCGCTGTGACCGTCAGTCCCCACGTCCACCTTGTCAGCGACATCATTGTGAAAGATTTCATATATACTGCTCCCTGAGACCAGTGAGCTCTTTCATAGTCTGTATCCTCAATCTCGGAGACGAACCGACTGTCAGAAACGCTGCTGGGAAACCTGAAAGTGGACAGCAAGCGGTGCAGTGCAACTCCATTGGCAACTCCCGTACTACCGTCGATTGGCCTCATGGATTCTTCTGCTCAGTTATTTCCCTTCGACCAGCTGGAAAATGTATGTTTCCCCTTCTCTTTAGGTCCTGGCATGTCCCGAGATGAGATTTTGTCACTGTTGCCGCCACCGAATTGCTGCGAATACCTGGTTACCGAATACTTCATGCGACAGTGCCCCTTGTTCCACATCCTCCACGGTCCAGCCTTCCAAGCACAATATAATACATTTATGGAGGACCCTCATGGGGTAGAGCTGTCGTGGCTTGCATTGCTGTTTTCACTCTGTTCAATGGCGCTGCACATCCTGGAAGAAGACGACGATGTCGTGACGGCAATATGGACAAGACACGGTCAGCCTCAGCCTCGAGACAGTAGCTCCCTTTCTTATCGTCTGCGCATGATGGCGATGGTCTGTCTATGCCAGGATGATTTCCTCATTCGTCATCAGCTCCATACGCTGGAGACCCTGCTAATTTTGGTTTACACCATAAATCACTATGAGAGTGTCGGGCGCGGCTGGACCCTTCTAGGTAAGACCCTCTCCCCTCTGTACGGGTAGTGCTCTGCGGACTTTGGTTCAAACAATCCTCCTCTAGGCCTAGCTTCGAACATTGCGATCACTCTGCGGTGTCACGATGCTAACGCCGAAAAAGCTGGGCTCTCCCCTACGGAGATCGAGCGGCGTCGGCGGTGCTGGGCGGGGGTTCTGATGCTGCATACCAACCACGCTATGTCCATGGGGCATATAGACATGTCCTTCCGCCTAAACATCTCATCTGTCATACCTCCTCCTGTCAACAATGCCGATTCCAAGGAGCATACCATTCTGCATTCTTCCCGCGAACCGTCCCAAATGACCATGATGGGGTTCAAACTCCGCCTCTTCCAGCTCTCTAGCCGCATCTGCCGCCAGCTCTCCGAGCACATCGACGTTACCTCACTTAATGTTTTTGACGACGAGGTAGCAGCCGAACAGAAGCAATGGGACGCGGTTTTTCTGTTGGACGGGGAGCCCAGCATCCTTGACACCTCCAGTTACGCCCATTGGTGTATCTTGCAACTCTACGCGCACCAGCTCTTCCTCCTACTTCACCGACCGTTCTGTCGGGGTTGCGACAACTCCTGCTTTCTGCCTAGCTCTCGCATCAAATGCCTGACATCGGGGGCGGCGCTGATCGATATCCACCGGAAATTCCTGGAGTTGCCGCGACTGCGCGCCTACCGCTGGTACGCCTACGGAATGACAGGTCTCTACGCGATCCATGGGGCGGTAGTGCTAGCACTGTGCCTTTTCGAGGGGAACACCGAAAATTGGGATACTGCGCCATACCTTGCCATCTTCATTGAAACCATTGCCCGGGTTGAGAAGCTCCGGTGCCATAGCTCAATTTCCGCTAAGGCGTATCCGATGCTGTGCCAGTTGAAGTATGACTTTGGTCCGCTGTAAGCTGCAATTAGAGGGCATATTAAAACAGGAACTAATTCGAGCTTGGGTAGAGAGATCCTCTCTTTGAAGCCGTCACAGGAAAATACTGTGGAGAGTCTCGATTTCGTGATCTCCTTCGATGAGTGGTTGGACGCGGTGCAGTGGCTTAATCCAGACTCGGTCAATTGGGTAAGTTACAGTTTCGTGTCCCTCCGGCCTACAAAGCTGCATCCAGAAACTAATCAGAGGTCCTCAAGGATTTCTGGGACAGCATGCCATGCTGTAAATTGAATTAACCGCACATTATTTTTACATTAGCTGTGTCATTGTAGTGTTATGATTACTTCCAGCTTTACTCGCATTCTGGGAGTTCCAGGCATTGAAAGTTCAAATGCTTAGCTTACGTGACTTTCGGCGCAGCAATAGGGCCAGGGAGGAGAAAAGGAAGAAGAATCTTATCGACAGGGAGGCGAGAGACTAACGACAGCAGCCAAAGCATGCAAGTATTCCAAAATCCACAGCCTCGGAGACGTCGTGTAGACCCACATCGGAGACATCGAAGAATGGGTCTCAGGAGACATCATGAGTCTTGCCACTAAGATGTTGCGAGTATAAATGGGCTGTGAAATTTGCGCGTCAGGCTATCTTGTTAAATAGTCGAATGGATCAGAATGAATCAGAACGTGGATTATATCAGTGCTGTGATCTTCACGGTGGCCATCGCACTCGCCTCCTTTTACTTCGGACGGGCAGCAAAACTGTTCTATGTCCAGTCAGTCGGTTCCTCAGTCTACGACCAATTTAATGCGATAGAACAATATATCGTCCCAGGATGAGCCATTATCGGTAAGTTACAGATGGAGATGATGGATGCTCTTGTGTTGACGATAGATTAATTTAGATTCTGTACCACGAGGAGGTTGCCAAGCTGGTTCAAACACTATTGAATGAAATCAGAACCAGTGAAGAAGTGAATCCGGGGATTATGACTTTTTGTGATAGAGCGTACTTGCTCGTGACTACGTTTAGGGGCTGGGGATGGATTAAGAGATAGATCTGAGGGCGACAGCCATTCAGGAATCCCAGAATCTTCTTATATGCTACATTCGACATAATCGATATCAGGGATTGTAGACTAGCTAATAATACAGATCTACCATGTAGCTTCCACCGCTATGAGACTCCCGGTCATGTGCTCGTTTTCATGTGCCTTGTCACTGCTCACAGAAGCCCCCGGAGAGCCTTTCCCACTGCATGCGCATCCTCGAATAGACTGAGATGCCAGTGGCCAACATTCCGAAGAACAACGGACGGCACGCATCGAAAAAGCCCACGAAAATACCAGACGCCTATGGCCACAAGATGTGCGTTGAGGGAGGCAAAAACAAAAATATTAAGATAGAAAGGAAAACCAAACCCCTTAATATACTAGGAAGTGATTGCATCACGACCGACGTGTCTATTCGTCGTACTCTTCGAGCCCAAGAGCACTCAGAACTCCTAATATAAAAACTAAGTGTTGCACTTAAAAAGTCTGAGGTATGTGGGCTTGACCTACGTGAATAACTCAAGTCAGAACCAAAAGATAGCTCAGCTAGGTCTTTGCCATGCTGGATTCCAATCCCACTACCATCATAGATAACAACATTGGTACCTATTGATAGAGCAATTTTCGGCTGGTGTTGAGGACATCGCTCCATCACAAGTGGCTGAGACGGGTCTTCTTCTGTCAGTAACAAGGCATAGATATTAGCGGCAGCCACGCTTCCCATGATCATTGCGCTGCATCCTAATTTGATTTCTGGCCACTCAACTATATCCCCCGCTGCGAAAATTCGACTAGAATGCGACGGATCACCGGTAGTCCTTAGTCTGTTCCAACAAGGTCAGCGCCATCTGACCTTAATGGCCATGATCAATAAAAGGCGGAGAATGGTGGAACTTGCTTTGAGTCAACCATAATGAAACCATTTCCGCTAATATATGACTTGGGTAGAAAGGACGTTGATGGCTTGCTTTGTGAAGTTGCAATAATAACCAAACCTGCATGTATATGATCTCCATTTTTGGACTTCACATAATAGGTTCCATCTGGGAGAGCTTCAACTGAAGGATGCTCGTTGAGAATCACCCTGACCCCCTCCCCCTGCAAAAGCTCATATGAAAGTGTCTTGAACTTATCCGGTAGAGGTTCACTTGATAGTAACCGGTCCCATGAATGGACCAGCGTGACGCGCATACTAGAGTGGTATGCTTTGAGGCTTCCTGCAAACTCGATACCCACAGGTCCTGATAATGAGAGATATCATTCAGCTAAAAGGAATGGCCTGCAGCTCTCAAGCAGACACATCATGATGGTTGGGATGTAGGTGATTGAATCACTTACCATCTCCGATCACTACAATACCAAGCTTTTCAACTGCCGCCATATCATCTACATGGCTGGATGCATCCCTGGGATGAGGAATTAGGCTCTGGGCCCTCAGAGCAACTGGCCACTTGCGTCTTATACCAGTTGAAACAAGCAGATAATCATAGGGCTTCTGGCTTTCCAAGTTGTTGCATTTGTCGATGTAAGTGAGAATCCGGTTATTAGGGTCGATGGTCGTGACTGTCCCATGCTTTACTTTGACGTCCGGCCGGCGTAATTTGGGAAATCTCTTATACTGTCTCCACATACGCTGTGTATGCGCGGGCGATATATGCGCCAGTGGTGTGCCGACAGTATGAACTAGATAATTAGATGTGACGCTTATTAGTCATCTTGAGCAGAAAACATCAACAATGGGAAGCCTAAGCATCCAGGAAGGCCACGGTGTAGCGGCAGAGGAACAAGAAACACTTGCAATAACACGGAGATAAGCTTACAGCAGCCGTCTCTTTCGTCAATGATGGTAATTCTCAGGTTTTTCACCTGAGTGGTCCCATGCAGGTGTGAGTAGTCACCATAGTCCCTGAGGGGTAGAGGCTGGCCGTCTTTCAAAGTCATTAAAGTCAAGGCTGCCGACAAGCCAGCGTACGACGCACCAACTATGACAACATGGTATTCTTTCGAAGACAATAGAGTATGGTCAAGTGCTCGGCGAACTGAGGGGTACTCGAACTGATGGTTCCCATTGCTTTGCCTATTATCAGCTGCCATTTTTGCCAAGATGCCATGGATGGTTCTAAAAGCCCTTTTCCCCGATGCGAGAACTGCATATAAGTATGACGGCGGTGTATGCCGTATGAGATAGGTGAGATGGCGCGGGAAGCTACTGGCTACGGTTCATTGGTGGCCCGATAATCCCCCAGCTGAAAGACCTCCGATGGTTAATCGGACATTTGGGATTTTTTTGATAGTGCTATCATCGTCTGATTCACAGAATCCAGAAATTTCACAGGATGTCTGGACAAAAAGTAGTATCGGAGATGTGGTCGGAGACGGCTAAGTGGGCCTCGGAGAAGACCATTATCTGGTCCTGGCCGGCGATCCCTTGAATGGCCACAACTTTCCCGTAGACTAGTAGGTGCTGTTTTGTTTTTATCGAGGCCGTACTGAACCCCTTATCAATTATGATGGATCCTACTCCCCTTTGGCATTTACATCGCACTAGGAAATGTAGAATGAAAGGTGCATGTTCATCACATAAGTGACGATCGACAGGATGGGTGAAAGTAAGTGTAAGCTCCACCAAGGGCATCGCCATTGGGTTCTGGAATTAAGTAGCCTGGGCAGGGAACAAAGTGAGGCGGTTTATGTGATGATGTTTTGTCTAGTGTGATGGGGAGAGATGGCTGGGGATGAAAGTGGATGTTAAACTAATTGAAGATACTGTATACTAATGGTTGCATACCGGCAGGACAGTGTATCTATGGTAAAATTCGAGGCAAAAGAAGTGATGGTCAAGTGAAGTACTGCTTGGTTTTGTGTGGCCCTGCTCACTTGCACCGAACTAGAGCCCACCCAGCCATCACCCCAAGAAAAAGGGTTGGAAGAAAAAAAAAAAAAAAAAAAAAAAAAAAAAAACATACAACAGCCAGGATTCCTGGTGTGACGGCTCAACGGCTCAACGGCAGACAAACAGCGCCAACATATCAAACGATGCCATACAAGCAATATGGGCAAACAAGGGCTTAAGCCGCACCACACAAATGCCTATAAAGACCGTTCATCGCCTAGATAGATTTCCTTTTCTTCTTCTTCCCCAGATTCGATATTCTCGTTGATGGCTACAATAGTCTATATAGGAATTCAGTTCGTTATTATCTTCTATTCCGAGCCCGTGACACCTGGTGGTCACCCACCCAACTACTAACCAGCCGGCATGTGGCTTAACTGCGGAAAATAGTTCGGTAGCTGCCTCCCGGGTGAGTTAGAGGGTGATGCCGCTTTTCGATCGCGCGACCAGGGGTGAGTTGGGGTGAGTTGGGGTGAGTTGGGGTGAGTGCGCTATAGAGAGGGTGAGCCATCACCCAACATCACCCAACATCACAGTGTCGCGCGATCTCAATCCTTTGGAATCCTTCCAATCTAATGGCATGCTACAGCCACTGATCATTGGCTGTTCTTTTCCAACTTCAAACACTGAGCTATCTTGGCGTCTGCACATAGCCACAAACAAATCTTTCCTTAAGATTGATTCAGCATAAGGATAATCTTTTTACTATTCTGCCATTCTGCCAGCCCGCCTTTTGGTGTGTAGTCGAATGGTCAGGTTACAGGTGAGCCGCCCTGTCACCACCGAGCAGAGTGAGGAGGTCCGCAAGAAGATTGGTGCTTACAAGTAACTCGAGTGCTCTGCCCGTACCAATGACGATGTCCACAATGTTTTTGAGGCCGCCACCCGCGCAGCCCTCCTGAAGGTCTGCAAGACCAGGTGTACCAAGAAGAGCAAGTGCTTGATCCCGTAAACTACCTCAGCCCGTCCAGCGATCCGGCTCGAATGGGAGAACCCGATCAACAATCGAGATTGAGGCAAATTTGGGAACAAATAAGTACATACTCCAATCAATTTTTTGTATTGTAAGATTGATTCTCTACCCACAAAATGACAGCAAAGCGATCTCCAAAAACTGGGATAGAGACAATAATGGATGGAAGCATAAATAGTTCTATCTAGATTTCAGATACTAGTACTGCATGGATGTCATCTTTCGCTCCCCAAAAACAAATTACGAGATTTACATAGTGAAATCAGAGCTGGCTGATATTCATAATGCATCAATATAGTCTATAGCACCAGCAATTCCCAGAAAATACCGACGTAGGCCTTTATGCCCCCTCGCCACTATCATGCCTCGTCTCATATCTCGCCATCTCCTGCACCTGCTCCTTCGCATGAGCCTTCTGCACAGCCCGCGCACTATGAATCATAACATAAGCCGACTTGACATCCCGGAACAGCTCCAGCGGATTTAAATAGACAGCCCAGGCATGCAATCCCCAGTGACCACCTTGGTAGCGTTTCTGGAAGCCGCTCATCAAGGTCTCCTCGTCGCCATTGGACTCGACGACCTGGTATTCTTGGGGTCGGAGGGTGCGCGCCGAGTTTGAGATCTCGTAGGGTTTTGTGCGGTAGGCGTAGAGGACTAGGAAGGAGAGTGGCACCATCTGCACGCAGATTACCATTGTTGGGAGGCCCATCATTACGTCGATGTAGGTCATTGAGGCGGAGGGTTTGAGAACTTTTGTTCCTGTAAGGATGAGGAAAAGGATCTGGGTTGCTGGTAAATATTCATTCTCAAAGCTCTTTCTTGGGGTAGATGATTACCTTCTCCAAAAGAATTACTCCGACGATCAACTTGAATGCCATCAGCTTAAGCAGTGGCCTATGCTCTGTCATGTATTCCTTCATGTTGATGTAGAATTGAAGGATGGCGTTGACGGCCACTGATGTCGACAGCGAGGTGATCACTTGAAGCTAATGGTTTTATTAGCTACAATTCAAGGATACAATTATGGCAAGATAGTACATACCCAAACATGAGCGAAATGAGGCGCTGTACTGTCGAGGCAGTAAACGTGTAGTGACTGGGTCACCACTTGGGAGACAGCGGTAATCCAGGTGATGACTGGGTACTGAAGCACGGAGTACCATGTCAACTAAAATCAGACAATCAGTCAGTCATTCCTTCAGTTATTTTTCTGCCGCCGAAGGACTCACACTCAAGAACGCAAGACCATTCCTTTTCTTCTTCGGCTGCCACTGTCTCTTCGTCTCAAGCGAAGAAAAGAAATCCACTTTGCTCCTATTATTGGGAGCCATGAAGTCGCAGAGTAGCATGAGGAAGGCGTATAGAGCCACACCCTGGAGCACCTCGGTGAACCCTTGTAGGTAGATATAGGAGTTTGGAAAACAGATTGAGACGAAGGATAGGATTTGGTAGGAGGGGATGAGGTTGCAGATTCGCATTATCCTATAAGCAATTCTGTTATCATCGCAGAAACTTCTCCACGTTGTCAGGGATCTTTACTTGACTTGTTCGTTAGGGTTGCTCATGCGCATCGCATGTCGTCCCATCAGGCCCAAGATCAAAATTAATACTATCGCAGTGCAACCGCCGGATATGATCATGTTAAATTGGTAGAATGTGAGATTTCCCACGAAGGGGCCGCCGCCAACTGTTCACTTGTCAGCAATTCCATTTAATCTGTAGTAAATTATGTAACAATCACTCACTTTGTTCAAGGTGGTCAGGTATAGGACAGCCAAAGCTGCCAGCGGCCGCTGCTCTCGGACTTAGAAAGCCCATATTGTATATTATTCAAATGTTAAACCGACGACGCTGAATGAATAACTCGCTCAAAAGAAAATGAAATGCAAGAAACGACTGCGGAATCACTCATCTTATTTCTACCATCACAATTCAAATCCTCGCCCAAATCTGACATGACGGGGCGTTGCCGATCCCATTCTCCACTCTGAAAGTCTTGGCATTGGTTAATTCCTTTTTCGGTTTTGAGGGCCGA